ACTAACCCCTGGACRCAAGAGTAAGATGGCCCAGGCAGGGCCCAGCGGGCAGAGGACTCCTGCCGGATTCCTAAGCCCACTTCCCCCTCAACCCCTCCTGTGGTGGCCCTGCCCTCTCTCATCCCCTCCTCAGGCCACGCCTGTCCTGCTGAGCTGCACCCACTAATTTTACCCAACACGGTCCATCCTCAGACCTGGACGCGGCCTGCTCCTCCCTCATCTGGGATGTCTGTCACCCACCCAGGCCCTTCCCCTCTCCCGGCCTGGACCTGCTCCAGCCCCACTCACCCCCAAGATGGCTCCAGCGCAGGCATCTGGTTACCTCCTCTAGGAAGCATTCTTTGATTACTTCTTCCTCCTCAGCCATCCTCCTGTCCCTGCCTGCCTGGTGGCAGGGGGTTGTCACTGATGTGGAGGAACCCCTTGAAAGCAAGGGGCAAGTCTGAGGTGCCAGCGTGGGCCCATGGCAGAGTGGCCACCCATGCCCACTTACTGTGAGAATGCACGCGCACTCGGAGAGCCTCGGAGGGCCGTCCAGTGTCCGGGTCTGAGAAGGGAGCAGCTGCTTGGAGGTTTGGGGAGCACGGTGGTTCTCCATATCTTATGTGTGTGGAATAATTTGGGGTTTCTCATTTCCAACAGCCCACTGACAGCATGGTATTCTCCCACATTTTGGGGMCTGGTCACAGGTTTGCCCAGGACCTTCCCAGTGAAGAAAATCCTTAGTGGAGGAGGGACTCAAAAGGGACAGTAAGTGGACCGCAGCCCAGGCCAGCTCCCAACTGGCAGAGGGCAGAGACTGGGCAGCCACACTAGGTCTGCCACCTCCTCAGCTATAAAATGCAGAGAAGAGAGGCCATCTCAGTGGTGGCCATGACGTCACCTGGGTCTCTTTCTTACCACCACGTGTTGCCAGCTGCTAGGAAGCCACTCTCTCCATTCACGCCCTCAGCAAGTGGCTCAGGAAGCCAGGCCCACGGCAAAGATGGCAGACACAGGCTGTGCCTCAGGGAGCCCAGGGGGGAGGGGGCAGAACAAAAGCCCGCACACGAACAGAAAGGAGGGAGGGTGGGGCTGGAGCAGAGGGCCACAGGGAGGTGGTGCAGGGCAGAGAGGGGACATCCAGGCCCAAGGCCTTGGTCAGCGTGAGYAGCAACAGCACTCTCAACAGTGCATCTTGGCTGAGACCCTAAGGACAGGAAGGAGCTGGCTGCTTAGACAGAACTAGAGGACGGACGGCTTTGGAGAGGGCTTAAGGACCTGGCAGGCCCAGGACTCCCAGCTCCTGGCTCGAGCCTGTCTGGAACTCCTGTCTGCTCTCAGCAAAGAGGAGGAAAGGGAGGCTGGTGCTTTGAGCTCTAGGGGTCAGGTGAAGGCCAGGACGCTGTGGCCAGTGAGTGAGGGGTTAGCCAGGTGCACCAGGGTCAAGGGCCCTGGTATGCCTGAAAGGGCGGGGGCAGGGCAGTGGCTGCTCTCAGAAACCTTGAGGAAGGAATGCAGCTTCAGGCACAAAGACTGCGGTGGGTGCAAAGGTCACAGGAGGCTGGGCAGGGCATTTGTCTATTAACTTGGGAACAACAGCCCATGAGCGCCAGCCATGATCTTTCAAACAGATGGAGAACTGTTTGTGATGGGGAAGAGTGCCGGACTGTCACTGTGGACATGATGCATGACTTCCTGCTTGCAGCAGATTTCCAGGGTGTGTGTRTGTCATCTTGCCCAAAACCCTGGGTCAGAGGCTGGGGCCTCCGCCCCTTCTACCCCACAGGAAACCTGTCCAAAGATCAGTCTCTCCCTCTCTCTCTGCAAACTGCAAGCAAATGTGCTGCTTATCAAGTTTCTTGACTCTTACATAAAGACCCAGGAGGAAAATGATCAGAATTTTGTGCCAGAAACACGCTGGTCTCCCCTGATAACACGGTGCGCTTTCTTTGGTCAGGAGGCACAGCAGTGCTCCTAATGGGATGTTTGCCTCGGTGGCCAAGAAAGGTCAGGTCAAGTTTAGGTGTAGTCATTACATCACCTGAGGTTTCTGGCACAAGGATTCCCCTGTTGATTGTTCCCTAAACAAATTAAATCACATTTTTAAGAAATTAAGAATAAAAATTTCCCCCATCAAATGAGGCATCCACTTTCATTTCGTTTCCTTCTGGTCCTTAGCCACATGGATACAGCTCGTGCGTCGTCATGATGGCACACTCACCCTTCGTGTGGGCTCTATTTTCACGTACAGTTAGTTCACTAATACCATATTGCTGCTTTGGTCTCCTGTCCTGCCTTTTCAACAATAGCATGATATTCTGTTGAGTCACTGAATACTGATCTATGGTAGTTGAATCCAACCCTATGGACCATACATGGGCTAGCACTGGACACTGCCTTTTCCTAGATTTTCCTGTTATACATAATCGTGCCATTATATAAATGAGTTGTGAGCAAGTCACACAACAGAAATGGTCCATTAGCACTAGAGAAGTCCAGCCATTGCTCCTGATAAAAGACACATTGAAACAAGACAGCCTGTGGCCCACTTTAAACACAATGTTACTCAATCTGGAGGGGCAGTGGAGGGACCYGGGGCTTCTCTGCCTGGTCATTCCTTCCCCATCCTCAGAAAGGGTGATGCAGGGGCACCTGCTCTGGCTCTGGCAGGAATTCTCAGGACCAGCCTCTCTGATCCCAGGCTCTACTGGGCAGCCCCAGCCAGGCTCCCTCTCTGAACCCTTCATGGATATCTCCCTCCCCAGCCTTCCTCCCACCTCTCTGCCTATTTCTTCCAGTCTCYTGTTTGGGGGGCCCAGGACTCTTCCCCATCAGCCACCCTCTCTTAGCCCTCTAGACTCTACATACCCTTATTCCCCCATGGCTTAAAAAAAAGACAAAAGAATACCAAAGTACTACAGAGTCCCAGTCTGCCCAGCTCAGGGGCCCCTCTGTCCATGCACATGCTTAGGTGCCTGGCGTCATCTCCAGCAAGAACATACCAGATCCCTTTTGARGCTGCCCAGGGTCTCTGGTGCCTCTGTGCCTTTGCAGAGGCTCTGCCCTCTGCCCTTCCCACCCAACTGCTTARCTTTCAACGGCAATTCCACTGTCAGGGAGGTCTCCGTAACCAAGCAGGCAGTTAGTGGCAGGTGCCCTTCATGTGCTTTCCTGGGTTCTCTGCAAACCTCAAGTGTGTGAGGCATCTTGTGGGAAAATGCCTTTTGTCTCTTTGGTTTTTATTTTTTATTTTATTTTTTTAAATTATGCCATTATACATATATTCTTTTTTTTTTGTATTACAATTTTTTTAATGTTTATTTTTAGTTATCGGCGGACACAACATCTTTGTTTTTATGTGGTGCTGAGGATCCAACCCGGGCCACACACATGCCAGGCGAGCGCGATACCGCTTGAGCCACATCCCCAGCCCCAGGTTTTGATTTTTAAAATTTAACATTCAGAAAAGGGCAGCTGGGTGTGGTGGTGCCCATTGGTGGTCCCAGCTACTTGGAGGCTGAAGCAGGAGGATCATTTGAACCCAGGAATTCCAGACCAGCCTGGGCAACATAGCGAGACCCCATCTTAAGAAAAAAGGGCGGGCGGGAGGCTGAGGCAGGAGAATGGCAAGTTCAGAGCCAGCCTCAGCAACTTAGCCAGGCCCTAAGCAGCTTAGCCAGACCCTGTCTCAAAATAAAAAGGGCTGGAGATGTGCCTCAGTGGCTAAGAGCCTCTGGGTTCCATCCCTGGTAGAAAAAGAAGGAAGGAAGGAAGGAAGGAAGGAAGGGAGGGAGGAAGGAAGGAAGGAAGGAAGGAAGGAAGGAAGGAAGGAAGGAAGGAAGGAAGGAAGGAAGGAAATGGGTGGGGGCACATTTTGTAAGTGAGCAGCTTGACAAAACTTCAGACTGAACCCAACCTTGTATCCAGAACCCAGGTTAAGAAGCCATCCCCTCATGCTCCCTCTAGTCCCTAACCCACTCTAGTGATCAGCACTCCCCTGATTTCTGGCCTGTGCTTGTTCTTCCTATAAATGGAACCCGTGTCAGTGCTGCTCTGTGGCTGGCCCTGCTGCTCAGACTGTGATCACCCTGTGGAGCTGTGCTCCTTTGCTTTTTAGAGTGCACCTTGCTCCAAGTCCCCGGTGTGGACCCTGAGGGTGGATCCACTCTGCTGTGCTGCTGTGACCATGCTGTCACTCCCACTCGGGAGCTCTGTTGAACAGTGCCACTGTGACCGTCCCAGTACATGTCTGTCTGCTAGTGTGCACTTGTATTTCTGCTGGAAAGAGCCCCGGAGCAGAACTGCAGAACCTTGGAATCCATACATTCAGCTAAATAGAGTTCCTGTGGTTCTCCTCCCGGGGACCCAAATCTTTACCTGTACTAGTTTGTTTGGTTTGGGTTTTTTTTTTTTTTGTGTGTGTGTGTGTGTGTGTGTGTGTGTTTTTAAAGAAATCTATTTGTTTCAGGCAGACCATCTCGTTCTCAGTAACCACTGGATGCAGTTACGAATTAAGCACAAATCTGCCCCCACAGGCCCTGCAAAGGCTGCCCCATGGCTTCCCAGCCTGAAAACTCTCCTCTCCATAGGGTTTCTGGGTCCAGCTGGGACAGGCGAGGGACCTGCAGCGATGCGCGCCAGCCGGGCGCCCCAGGYGGGAAACGAGCACACCGGGGAGCCCCGAGTGGGCCCGCTCCAGGGGGCCTAGGCCACTTGAGGCCGGGGTCCCGGCGGCCTGGCTGCCCGCGTCCGGGCGCGGGTCCTTTCCGCCGGCCAGGCGCCCTAGCCCTGATCCTGAGCCCGCCMGCGGCGAGTGGAGGGGGATCGGGTTTTGCGGGGGCCGAGTCTGGGGGCCTGGGGCGAGTCCGCCCGGAAGGGCCCCCTTCTGCGCGCCCCTGCAGGGGGGCCAGGGCCCCGCGCCGCCCGCAGCCGTGGCAGCGCGCCCCCGCGGCCGGGGTGCCGGAGGGAGGGTCCCGGGGCCGCGCGGGGGCGGCGGGAGGGAGGACGCGGGGCCCCGCCTCCTCCCGGGCGGGATAATTGAACGGCGCGGCCCGGCCCAGCGTTGGCTGCCCAGGCTCGGCCGATCGTGGAGCCGCTGCCGTCGCGCCGGTGAGCCCGGAGCCGCCGCGCCTTTGTCCGCCGCCGCCCGCCCCCGCCCGCCGGCCCCATGGAGCGCGCCGCGCCGCTGCGCCCCGTCCCGCTGCCGCTGCTGCTGCTGCTGCTGCTGCTGCTGGGCGGCCTCTCGCTGCTGGCGGCCCGAGGTAGGGCGTCTCAGGCCCAGGGTCCCCTTTGTAGGGTCCCGGTCCCAGTTCCCTGGCCGTGCTCCTTGGAAGTTCTGCAGCTGCCAGGACTCAGAGCCGCGTGCGCAGCCCAGCGCTGCGCATCCGGGGAGATCATCGTGCAGGCTGCAGAGCTGCTGGCCGGGACGTCCCCTCCCTTCTCTCTCCTGGTCGGCCTAACACCTCCCTCGCTTAGGGGTCTTGTCTTAAAGATGGGACCCTACCCCACGTCCCTCTTCCTCTAGCGCGCCYTGCCATCCACCCTCCTACCCCAGTCCTGGCACATAGACTCGGCCGCCAAGACCCCAACCTGGGTCCTTGGGTTGGGGAACACTTTGCCCCGAAGCCCCTTGTGTGTCTTTTCCCACTGCCCCAGCCCCACCCCAGGTGGGGGCTGTTGTACCATCTCGCTGAGGAGCAAACTGAGGGGTGGGAGCAATAATTTGTCCAAGAGACAGTCGGTTTTGGGGTAGGGAAGTGGACTGGAGGACTTCAAGGTGGTGGTCCTCTTGGGATCTGGCCATCTCCTCCCTTCCTGCCCCCCGGGACACAGGACCCAAGGCAGTGCTTCTGCCAGGCTTCGTGTTCAGCTGGGACAGGGGACAGGCCACTTCCAAACCTACCACCCTGTGGCAAGGTGGGAGGGGTGTCCTCTAGCAAATCTGTGGCCCAGAACCTCCTCTCCCAGCCCTGGGACCAATGGTGCAGGGATAGTGCCACCCACGCGGTGCCTTTCTCTCTGCAGATCCTCCAGGCCTGGTGTGGTGGTGGGGGGCAGTCCCAGTGCCTCTGGATCACAGCAGCTGCTGGGCGGGAGAGCCATGACCTCTGACCTCTCTGCTGGCCCTGTGGCTTCTCAGGGCCATTAGCCAGGCCCTGCGCTGCTGGAGTCTTTGTTTCTCCTGGGGCCCAGGTCCAGACCACCCCTGGAATCTCAGATTCTTTATCCCTGGTTTAGTTTAGTTTCTTTTGAATTCTCTGATCACTACCCTCCTCCTTGGTCAAAAGGTCACTTGTCCCAGATAATGCCTGCAGGGGATTTAAGAGGAGGCTGCAGGAGGGGGACAAGGAGGGGGGTTGGCTCTGCAGAGGCTCTGGCTCCGTTACTGCTGCAGGCCTCTGGGGACTCGGCTTGTTCTGGGCACTGGCTCCATCCTGGGCATCCCTGGGTCCCTCCTCAGGTTGGAGACTGTGGGGAGGCCAGGGCTCAGTGTTGGTGTGTCCCTCGACTCCCAGGAGCTCCTGGGGGACTTGGAGGAGATGGTGCTTGGGGAGGAGCTGGAAGCAGTGTTGGTAGAACATTCTGGGCAGAGTGGACATTTGTGTCACTGTTAGGCAGGGTAAAGACCCAGAGAGGGCCTTGGAGCTGTCAGGCAGGCAGCACAAGGCCACAGAGACGCTGCTACATATCCAGAGAGAAGATGTAGTCAACTCTCAGGAATCCAGGAGCCCCGAGTCCCCCCTCACTGACCTCCCCTGTGCTTTTGGAGAAAACTTTCCCCTTGCATGTTTGACTTTGAGCTCCCAGGACTGGCCAGCCCGGAGCCCCTCACTACCTCACTGATCCGTCTTCATAGACAAGCTCCCAACCTGAAGGGTTTAAAAAGTTTGAGTGAGCAGAGCTGTGCTGTCCTGTGGCCCTAGCTGTTTCTTGCGGGCAGAACCCTCTTTGAGTCTGGAAACAGTGTGGAACAGTGTGGTGTGGTCTGGGAAGACGAGGTCAGAAGGTGCCCAGGTCCTTCCTGCAGCCTGGGTAGCACCACCCTGGGGCCCCGTTCTGGAAAAGAGTGAGCCCTTTTGCTAATCTGCTGGGGTTCACTCGGTATCGGGCCATGTAGAAGGGCCCTGATCTTTCTTGGGGCAGATGTAAGATGAGGGCCCGTCTGTCCTATGTCTGTCTGTCCTGTCCAGCTGCCCCGAGCCCTGGTGTGTGAAGGAGGGGGAGGAGGTGGGTGTGGGGAAAAACAGTTGTGTTTTCTCTGAGGCTTTCTTGGCCTCTGACTGCAACAGGGCAGAGTTTCCCACTGATTAAAAGAAAGCGTGTTGGGAGGAGAACAAAGGCTGGAGGACCTGGCTCTGGACCATGTGGCACGCACTGGGCTCCTGGAAGTTTCCCAGTCGGGAGGCGGGGCCGAGCGCTTGATGTTAGAAGATGAGCCTGGGGTGCTCTGAGTGGGGGTGGCCCTGGGACCTCTCCTGGTTCTGCCCGAGGCCCCCCCAGCTTGGGCTGCATGCCCTGTCCCTGCTGGACTATCTTGGGACAGCTCACTCATCTTCAGTTCCCAGCAGGGTACATRGGGCCCAAGGGACTGGAAACCAGTCTGTCTCTCTTCAGAAAGACTCAGGGATGGCTATAAAATGAAGATAGCAGAAGCCTCCTTCTTAGGTGGCTTTGAAGATGAAGGGGAGAACCCAGGACAGAGCCACCATGGTCTCTGTTATTATTAGCTGTCATTGGTGTTGACCCTTCCTGGGTGGGAAGATGGCCTTCCCCAGGACTGCCCTGAATGTTCTGCTAATACCAGCTCTCCAGCCTGGAGCCGGGAAGCAGCCCTGCAGGGCCACAGCTGAGCGGTGCTGGCCCCAGCAAGGGCAGCCACCCACCCCTTCTCTCAACCTCTGGAACAGCTCTGGGGCTGGATACTGCTGGAGGTCTGGGGGTTTGGCAGGAAGGAGAGAAACCCTGCCCTCCTGGGAGCCCTGTTGACAGAAAGAGCCCTCTGGCAGTCCGGAAGCCTTCCTGGAGGAGGAGACCTTGGCTGAGTCTGTGGGCAGGGCTGGGAGGATGGCTCCGGAAGCCTGCAGGTTATCAGGAGGGTCCTCCACCGGGGCCAGCCCTGGAAGCTGGGGTCCCTTGAGACCATTTGCTCATTCATTCATTCACAGTCAACAACTGAGGGACTGCTCAGCAAATACTGGTCAGATGTGCTGGTCCCAGTTCTGAAAGTGACTCAGAGACCGTGGCCCAGTCCGGCCCTCTCTCGGGCCCTTTCCAACACGATGGATTGAGAGTGAGCCCTGCTCTGGGCGATTGTTGGAACTGAGGGGCTTTTGTTCGTAACTAGCATGGCTCTCCACAACCCTGTGAAGTGGGTGACCCAGATTCACCTGAACCTCCTTCTCCTTCTGGATTGGTCATGTCACCTGCTGGAGTAGAAGTGGACTGTCAGGTTTGATTTTTACATTTGAAGGCTTGCTTATTTGGGTTTAAAAAAATCTCTCTGGACCTGGGAGTCAGTGCTGCCACGTAGGGTCAGGCGGCACCCGAGCTCCGTCCACCCACCTCCCTCCTCACAGCGCTGGGACTAGAGCGCCTGTCTCACCACCCCCAGGACCCTGTGGTACTTGGCTGCCCCCCACATTAATCTCACGAGGAGACACTGTCACTGTTCCCATCATCCAGGGGAGGACACCGAGATGCAGGGAGCATGTCCCCAGCACTCAGTGGCCCCAGGACTCCAGGCAGTGTCACCCTGCTAACCAGGACACTCCGTGGTAACACCAACCCAAGTCGGACTGGTCTGAAGTCCGGCTTTAGGGGAAGCTGGTTTCCTGCAGTTGCCGCTAGCCTGGGTCGACCTTTAGCGCAGAGCAGGGTTTGGAGCCCTGTGTGGCCTTGGGCAGGTCCTGAGTCTCTTCCCCTCCCCTGCCCCACGGGCTGAGGTCCCTTGAGATCATTTGCTCATTCATTCATTCACAGACAGCGACTGAGTGACTGCTCAGCAGGCACTGGGCAGAGTCTAGAACGGGGCTCAGCCTGTCCCCGTTCTCTGGGTGCTGAGTACAGGGTTAATCATTTGTGCTAAGTGCTGGAAAGTTCAGGGAACAAAGAGACCATGCAGGGCAGGAAACAGATGTGCCCTATGTGAGCCTGCATGCTGGGGGCGGCCAGGGAGGGCACTGGAGGAAGGGCAGGGGGCTGGCGTGGCAAGAATGCACTGGCCAGGGGAGAGGAGGGCCCTGGGTGGCCTGGCTAGCAGGGTGCGGTCTACCATGCGGCCTGCGCAATGGTTTCATTAATGAGGTTCTAGGCATTAAGTTAGTTAGAAGAGATCGAAATAAGACTCAATTACCTTAATTCTATTGCTAGGGCCGAGACGGCTCCCCTCTCTGGTTYGCTCCTCTAGCCGCCCAGCAGGGCAGCAAGGATTACTCAGGGCTAGCAGGAGAGAGAGAGAGAGCACGCCAGAGACTAGCCTTTTATTGGGGAACAAGAGATTCAGGGGAGAATTCCATCCAATGAAGGTTGAGGGGGGGCTGCACTCCAAGGTCAGGGTCAGTGATTGGGCCCCGGGGTCAGTGGTCAGGCACACCCCCACACGGACGGGTTCTCTCATCAGGAGAGGGCCGGGAAAGCTTCGACACTGCCAGAGCGCCTCAGGCCCTTAACGGGAGTCACCCAATCACGTGTTAGAATGGCTCCCAACGTGCGGGATCCAGCCAGCAGATGCAGAAGATGCGAGGTGGGTGTCGAGAGAGACAGAGGCCCTGGGGGAGAGGGGTCCTGGAGGCCTAGGACCCCCTTGGACAGGGTGGGATGCTACAGAGGCGACCAGGTGTGGATGGCCCATGTGACATGTGGCACAGGAAGTGGCTGCCCGAGAGAGCCTGGGGGAAGGTCACTYCCCTCACCTCTCCAGCTGTGCCTTCTGCCCCTTCTATTTTGCTGCATCCTCCTGCTTCTCTGCCTCAGACCCTGGGGGTCTCTGTGACTGCTGGGGACATGCTCAGGAGTGGCAGGTGAGGCTTCAAGGACACAGGAACTCTTRGGTGGGGCTGGGGCCTGGAGCCCTAAGAGCAGACGCCAGCTCACCCTGCTGCTTCTCAAGGAGGCCTGGTGGCCTTGGGTCTGTCCCCACCGGGTCCTGTGAGGCATGCAGAGGCCGCCAGCTGCCCAGGGCCCTGCGCTGCCATTTTCTTGTATTTCTGGATTCCCGGGTCCCTGGGTTTCTGCACCCAGGGAGTCCCCTCAGCTCTGCACA